CCCCAAAACCCCAAAACCCCAAAACCCCATAATATTTAAAATAAATTGAAACTTCAGTCTTAAAAATTATGGAACAGAGTCAACCTAAAAAGCGTGATTGATACAAAAAGAAACTCTCCTTATCATTCAGAAGTAAGCCTTGAATGCTCACCTGATCTTTTCAGACAAAACAATTACCTCTAAAAACGACATTTCCAAGAAATAAATCTGAAAAAGCCCCAAAGAATCGTAGGAGAAAGACTAAGATCAATAATTTCACTGTAAATTTTGTCCAAAAACTATGCTCTAGATTCGTGATGGACAAGTAGATTCATTAATTGAGTGCTACAATCCTTCAAAAAGTAAGCAAGATTCATAACTTACAGCAATTCTTGACTCTATGGACTGTAAGTTCCACCCTCAAATAGTCTAGTCCAAGAGAAATAACAGGCCAAAATGGGAAATTATCCATGAGTAAGCTCGCAATAATCATTATAGCTTCGTTCTTTGTCAGAACCAACAAAAATTACTTGAAAAACTGTCTCGAATCAACACAACTATCAAATCCAGGCTGAATCCTAAGAAGAGGAGTAAGAGACAAACTAATCCATAGACCGATTTAGAAGAGAAACTAAAAATGATGTCGACCTGGCCATTAACCCAAACCAAGTACGGCTTTAACCCCTTGAAAATTTATCACCCAAATTTCCTTCTAGAGCAAAAATTATCAAAAGTCCAAAATAGATGTTGTAAAGAAGCTTGAATCATCTCTTGGCAAAGACACAGTCAAAGATCTCCTAGAAATTACTACTTTTGAAAAGTAAGTAAGAAAGTTCGTAATATAAACCTTAAACCAGACTTTCAACATATTATACACATTTGGGACAATAAAATAGTTCCATTTCCCTCACAAACCTCATTTGGCTTATTATAAGATAGAACTAAAAGATTCCACCGCAGAAGGACAAAACTCCTGAACCATTTCTCCAAAGATACCAAATAAGACCTCTGAAGATGCGTCTAGCATCAGCTTGATTTCATCTCCAAAACACAGGAGTAAACTGGATTTAACCAAACTTAGGAAAATCGATGAGGAAAACTTTTGACAACCAAGATAGTCCTTGTAAATTGGTAGTTAAAAAGACCCTCAAAAGGTAAAAATAATCGCTCAATTTGGCCATGAGAGCAGACGAGATCTCAAAATATAGCAATGCACCTTTTCACATTAAGAAACCAGACTTATACCTGAAATCGGTCCTAAGTGAGTAGAAGTTTTAAAGTTAGATAAAATCCAAGAAAGTAGGAGCGCAGAAAGAGTAAAAACAGCAAGATGCTCTAAAAGCAATAATTTGATTGACTTTTTAGGTTACAAATTAACTCAAAAGAAAGCAACTAAGAATAAGAATGAACTCAGCTCAAACCTCTGATCAAGAACAAGGGATCCTTTATCATCCACATTCGTCTCTCTCACCGTAAGAAAAATCTTTAAACCTACAGAACGAATCCAATAAACTCGGCTTCAACAAAAACCTCCCAATCTCTGCTATAAAATACCGCCCGCTGTTAAAAAAGACCACACTAATCCACTGGCGGAAATCCATGGGTGAAATGACCTGTCTCAGCAAATAACCTCTCCTAATTCCCTTGCAAAATCCAACACTTCAAATTCCAAAAGGGGTTTTGGGGTTTTGGGGTTTTGGGGG